GGGGGGCGGGTTTGTCCCGGGGTTTCAGGAGACACAGGGGCGAGGCGGGGACGAGGTGAGTCGGGGTCCGAGAGGGCTCACAGGGCGGACAGCGAAGAGGACTGAGTATACGGCCACTTCCAGGTGTGGCTGTCAATTTGGACAATCCTCAGGCCAGGGACACAGGTTCAGCCTATGGATCCCCATGGGAGCGTCGTCTGCCTGAGGAATTGGGGGTGACCAAGGGAGCCCCCCTCCCAGGGGTCTACCGCAGAACTGCCCCACAGGGGCTCCTTGGCTGTTCTCTTGAGGGACTTGACTGCCAGGCCTTTGTTCTTTGGTGCACAACCTTCCTTCAGGTTAGTCGCCACCTGGCACTGATCGTTCACACCACCCGGGGAAGATGAGACAACAAAGGCTGGACCAGGCCCATCTCTAAACAATCAGGGCCCAGATGCCCAGAGTCCCAGGAGAACCACCCTCGGGTACAATGCAAATGCGTCTGAATGCCGGAACCCGCACGCAAGGCGTACCATCCACTGCTCGATGTCACCCCACTTTGTGTCCAGCCCATAGTATTTCTGGAGGCAGAAAGGAGAGATGTCAGGGGAGGAGGAAAAGGCAACTGCTTAAGAAACTGTTCGGACATGCACTTTCAAACGGCAGCCCGGCCCACAGCAAGGGGACAAGCCCAAGCAGCAGCCAGAACTCACTGTGGGTTCTAGGTGGGAGGGGGAGCTGCCCTGTCCCCAGGCAGGGGGATTTGGGAGCCTGGGAAAGAGGAGCTCCCCAGCAAACCAAGAGCGCAGGACAAAAGCATTCCTGGGTGGGGAGCTGGCAACAGGACCTGGAGACTAAATTCACAGCAACCTTATTTCAAGTCCTTGCTTCCCAGAACTGCCCAGGGGGCAGGGCTGCTAATAAGAAGCGCAGCCGAGAACAGTCCCCAAGTGATAGGAAAATCAAACCAACCCCCCGCAAACCCACTGATGGAGGAGGGGGCTCTGTGATGGTCTCTAGAGCGCTGATCTGGCTTTGGGTACCTGAGAAAACACTGGGGTCTCCTAAGAGAGCCCACTGGCCAGGTGGTCTCTGGGTCTCAGAGAAGAAACGCAAGCAGAGCTGTGGCCTGTGCTCTGGATTCACTGGACGCCCGACCTCTGTGCTTCCCGCCTTGCTTGCTAGTGGGCGGCACAGCGGTCCTGGTGAGGATGACGCAGGGAGACTCGGAATGGCTGCTGCTGCTGTTAGGAGGTACGGCCGCTCCAGAACCAGGCGGCAACCCAGCTCATCTCAAATAGCACCTTTCTGCTTTTCTCCTGCCGCTCCGTCCACACTAAGAAAGGCCTTCAGGCCAGTCCCTCCTGGGCCAGCGATGGCTTGGCGCAGCAACACAGGAAGGGACTTGAATTTGTCAAATGTGGCTGTAAAAGAACGAGAGCCAGAAAGCACAAAAAAATCACAGGCCCCTGCTAGAATCTCTCTCCCACTTTGAACACAAGGCGCGTGTGCATTACCTAGCAACCAAGTGTCTTGCTGGGCGGGGTCAGAAACAATGGTGCCCGGCTCAAAGACAGTGGCCAGTGATGCCACTTTGAATGTCTGCAGCTGTCCAGTGTCCTCCAGGGCTCATTCGGCCTCCACTGACCTCATCCCAGGATTCAGCTTCATTAATTCCCAGGTTTTGCAGCACAAGCCATGTCCATGTTAACCAACGTTTGAACCCGTTCAAAACCCTCTAAGGGAAAACCAGTCGGGGCCTCCATCTCGTAGAACACAAATGGGGTTTTCTCTTTTGACACATTAAAATCTCACCATCCAAGGGGTGGGGGGGTGGGGGATTTGGATGCTACCAGAACACAACAGTCCTTGAAACTGCACCCCAGCAGGCCAGACGGCAGGTGCTGGGTCGGCGGGCTACGTTTGGTTGGGTTTCAGTTTATTTTGAAGGGTGGCCAAATTTCAAGCTTAATGCCCTAACATGGTCTCACGCCTTTTCCTTTGAGGGTTGGCTACATGGGAAAACAGAAAGAGGGAAAAAAATAGGAGGGGGCTAAAGGTTTTCAAAATAATCCCAAAATCTACCAACCCCATCTCTTTCTGTATACCACTTTCTTTAGACTTTAAATTCAGAAAGGAGGTGAAAATCAAATGCCTCTAATAGCATGCCCTAACCTCTGTTGAAATAGAAGACAGGAGCTTGAAGCTGTTCTGTCCTCGGTGTATGGGAATTCAGTTCATGCCAGGCCTGTCCCCACGGCCGCGTGTCTATTATTCATCTGTGAAACTTGACGGCATCGTCCCGCTTTATCATGATCAAGAAAGATGAAAATACCCTTTGAAAGAGGCGGGCAGTGAATATGAATTCCCAATAAAACGCTAAATCCCCAAAGACGTGTTTCTCGTGCGTTTTCCACGCTCATCCTTGGCTGTCTGACCCCTCTACACCTTTGTCAGAGTGCCCTCGGGAAGGTCTTCTCACGAGAGAAACAGGAGCTCAATCCCACAGCCTCTCTCCTGCTGGAACGCCAGCTACTTGTCCTTGCCATCTCTCTGGGGGGGTGGGGAGGGGGACAGAGGGCACCTCCAGCATCAGCAGGTGTCCTGTGTTAGTGAGTGGCACCAACACAGCAAGCTTCAGGAAGGTGAGGTGACTTGGGGGGGGGGGGCGTGGTTAGCAGGTGAGTCATGCAAAGAAGCCAGGGAAGGTGGAGAGCACTGGGCTTGCAGAAACAGCTGTGACCCAGGAGAAGAGGACCGAGGTGCTGGGCAGCCACAAGGGCCAGCAGAGAGGAGCCACTTCCTCTGTTTCCCATGCACAGACCTGGGAGGAGGGCGTGTCCACCCTGAGCCGGGGCTGGGCCTGTGTTCTGCCCCAAGGACGCTGGCCCTTCCTCTGCTGTCACTCTGGACGCAAGCCACCCTTGGGACAAAGCTCTACAGCTGCACTGCTGGGGAGCCCAGGGAGAGAAAGCCATGGGTGAGCTGCGCGGAGAGTCCCTGTGGGAACTGCAGGACGGAGTGCCGATTCTACAGGGGTAGACCATTGAGTCGGGCTCTGCTAGTTACAGCGGAGCGGCCAGCCTTGTCTTTGCCAGGTCCAGCTGGCATGGGACTCCCTTTAGAATTTGAAACTTTACTCTGAATGTACATATCAGTATGTGGACCCTTGGAGAACCAATGTGGCACCAACCAGACCCGGGTGCTGAATCCGCTGAGCCTCGTGGCCTCCTCAGGCTCGTGGTTAAGGAGAGAGAAGAGGGCAGGGAAAGTAACAAACAAAAACACCACACTGGTGGCTGTCAGCTCGATTGTGACTCAGTGAGTCTACAGGGCACCGTATGACACCCACACACACACCCGGGTCTCCGAGGGCCCATGTCATCTTTACAGAAAGCCCAATCTTTCTCCTGTGAGGTGGCCGGTGGGTTTGAACCTCCGACCTTTTGGTTAACAGCCGAGGGTGTTGGCCACTGTACTCTGGGGGCTCCTTATTTGACTTCAAGAGGGTCCCCAAATTCAGAAACGTGCTTTGTCTGGGCATTAGCCCCTCCCCTCCCCAAGGGGCATTTTTCCTAGCATCTTGATGGAAAAGGGCAAGGACAGAGGCATGTGTCTGGAGGTGGCTCTTCGGGGTGTCTGTGCGGGGGGTGCGGGCGAGGCAGAGGTGTTCACACGCCCTCACACACCAAGCGGCATTCTGAGAAGCGAGAGGTCTGTGCATCTCGGGGGCAAAGCGCTACTGCTGGAAGGCGACCAGGCTCTGGTCCCGGAGACCAGTGCATGCAAACAGAGGAGAAACAAAGAAGTGCCTACCTTTTGAACCTGATAGATCTACAGAGAGGGGCAAGAGAGAAGGGGGAGAGAAAGACATCACCCCGTTAGAGAAGCAGAGCGGCAGAGGCAGGTCCCACAGTCACCCAGAACTTCGCACAGGAGAGTCATCTTGGGGAAGACGGAGAGGGCTTGAACCCCCACCCCAAACAGCGGGTACTTCCCAAATAGACATCTAATATGAAGTGGAACCCCCAAAGCCCTCTGAACCCCCTGCAGGATGTCCTCATCCCTCACTTCTCCAGTCTGTCCTGGATCAATGGGCTGGAGGAGCGTGGCCGTGCCGGTGTGAATCCACTAGGACCCGCTGTGGTCTCCACAGGACCCTGCGGGTGCCATGTGCTCGCTCCTTCACCATCCACCTCAGCATTTCCGTCACACGGGGAGCTCCAGCCCTGAAATGCCGGCCCCTAATCGCAAAGTCATCCGTGGTGCCGAAAGATGCTCTGGTTAGGCGGCTATACCAGGACGCAAAGTCATCCATGGTGCCGAAAGATGCTCTGGTTAGGCGGCTATACCAGGACGCAAAGTCATCCATGGTGCCGAAAGATGCTCTGGTTAGGCGGCTATACCAGGACGCAATCCGGGAGGATCCCAGTGAAACACAGAAGGAAGCGTCTGACGCAAGACGGCGGATGTGGTGACGCTGGGAGTGTGGCACGTTCTCCTGTTCAATTCCTTCTGAGGGTTCTTCTAGCTCCTTGTTGGGTAAGAATGAGATGTCCATTCACTCCCTCAGTCCCCTCTGCAAGGGCAGCGAGTTACTGAATGTGGCTCTGTGAGCCAAACTCTCTACCTCCCACCAACCGACCTTTCCCTGCTGGGGTCTGGTAAGAAAGTGGGGGGCAACACTGATAGGATTCACCTGTCAGTAACTGTGAACAGGGGTTCCTGGAGGGCCATCCGGCTGGGTATAAAATGAGCCCTCTGACAAGCAGGAGGGATCTCATTACTAGCAAGAACCAGGAGTGGAGCGTGTCCTCTGGACCCGAGATCCCTGCGCAGTGAGCCTCCTGGATCCAGATGACGGCCATGGCATCGGAGGAGCAGCAGCAGAACCAGGAGCCAGACCATGAAACACAGTAATGGACCTTCTACCCCACGGAGCAGGTGGAGCTGAGTGCTTTTAGGCAGGAGGCTGACGTGCAGAGTGGGGTGCCTCTGGGCACTTAGTTGGGGAAGCTGGGCTTGCTGACCCACAGAAGCGGGGCTGAGTGCCTGTGGGCTGAGGCTTACTGGAGTGGGCGGCTCTGGGCACTGAACTCAGGGAGCTGGGCCTACGGACCCGCAGAGCTTGAGCTGTGTGCCTCTGGGTTGAGGCTCACATTGATGAACAGACCTGGGACTTTGTCACTTGTCCTGATAAATTACATGACAACTTGTTAACTTCCCCAATAAACTCTTTAGTCATGAACATGGTCTGTGAGCCCTGGGTAGCCATTGCAGTGGACACTGGAACCCAGAGAAGTAAAACAAAGAACAGTAACAAAGACATCACAACTCTCTTACCCCCCTATCAGACCAGGCACGAACAGGGCCAGGACCTGCCCACGTGATGAGGGTGAGCTCAGGTGCACAGAATCGCGCTCACGCCTCCGTGGAAGCTTGGACACACCTGCTACCTGGTCGCTATGGTGACAGAGAGGTGCTTTGGGCTCCCATTGGTACTGGTTCTCCCGTGGGTTTCCCAGAGGACAGCCACGTGTAGTCTTCCCTAACAGTCCCTGTTAGGGAGCCCACACTCCTTGTCAACGTGGGCGGGAGCCCTAGCTGGTTCTCACCTTCTGCACTGGTGGGGGGCGGGGGCCTGGCCTGGGGGCTCTGGGCTACCAGCAGCCAGCTCGCCACCCCGCCCTGCCCCAGGCTCTTCGGAGCTTGGTGGCACAGCTGATGCGAAGCATCTTGACAAATACAAGTGGATGGAGAGACGTCCAGACCCCCGTCATCAACCTGTGTCCCTGAGATGCTCCCCAGAGCCTGCCACCAGGAAGTGCCCTGGAGTCAAGGGGGGACGGGACACACAGCTGGAAGGAAGCCTTTCCAAACCTCGTGGGGCTTACCCGCCAGATGGCAGCCCAGTGTGAGTGGGGAAGGCACACGGTGGACTCTTCACCCCACGTCCCTGCACAGCCGAGCTGGCTTCCCTTTCCTCGGCGGGGGCCGGGGTGGGGGTCTCCTGGGCCTCACTGGGCTCGGTGGGGGTGGGGGTGGCAAATACCTCCATTATCCACTAGGTTTGGGCTGACCGACTCCCAATATCCATGCTGATACCAGATGTAATGCCGAGATGGACACCCCCTGTCTTCACACTGTGAGTCTTAGTCAATTCTCTCCAGAAACAGAACCAGTCAGGGGACACGTGCACACACACACACACACACACACTCTCTCTCTCTCTCTCTCTCTCTCTCTCTCTCTCTCTCTCTATCAAAAAGTGCTGCTAGCTGCTCAGGTTTATTCCCAGTAAAGCCTGTCCCAATGTCTCTGCCGTCCGGGACAGCCCCTGCACAGGGCCCCATTCAATGGTCACCATGACCTTCTGAGCTGACCTCTCGGCCTTAAATTTAATCGGCCCAGCACATCCCCTTAGAAGTCACGTGGAGTTTTTTACGTGACCTTTCTGAAGCCCTATGCACTACAGATATGCCTCTATACGCACATCTTAAGACTCAGATCTTAAAGGCACAATCACACCGTCTACCAATGACACCATGACTAGAAGAGAAAAAACAAACAAGAAAAATGTTTTTCACACCCAAAGAAGTAAACTTTGAGGGCTCTGTGGAGGTTGAGGGGTGGGGAGTAAACGAGCAGGGGGGATACCCTGACATTTAAATGTGTGATCAATTTAAGAAAGTGAGAGGGAAAAAAAAACCAATGATCTTTTCATTCCATTTCCCCATGGTCATTCTGAAACCTGTATATGTGTATAGGGTCAGGGCGAGGAGGCTTACTTGGGTTCCCGGGCTGGTGGGGAACATTCTAGACATTCAGATTAGGGCTAGCCCAGAGTCCCAGCAGCCTTGTCCACCGCCAGTCTTGAGACTGATGTTTCTGCAGAAGTCCCTCAAAACTTGTTCTAAAGGCCTTTCACAGCCAGACAACGGGGCCCCCCACCAGGAAGCCCAGTGTTTTCCTGACATCAATGTACTGGCATGCAAATGCTTTCCGAGGGGCATCTGGGCTGGCGCTGGGAGCCTCACTCAGCCATGCCTTCCTGTAGCTGGGCATGCTGGCCCTGGAAGGCAGAGGCCCAGCAGCAGACGCTGAACGTGGTGTGGAATTAAAGTGCACCGGGGTGGTGGTGGTGGGGTGTGTGTTCAACTCAAAGGGAGACAGGGAGGCTTTGCTTTGAAAAGAAGCCACTGGCAGGCTGGTTTGGAGCTGGGCTGCTAACCTGAAGGTCAGCAGTTTGAATCCACCAGCCGCTCCGTGGGAGCATGGGAGTGCTCTGTGGGAGAAAGATGTGGCTCTCTACTCCCGTAAAGAGTGACAGTCCTGGAAACCCACAGGGGCAACTCTGCCCCGGCCTAGAGGGTCACTCTGACTCCCCAGCATTGACCCTCTGGCAGTGAGTACGGGTTTGGGATCATAGAAATGGAGTCTTGGCTTAATCCCTGCCACAAGTGCTTTTCTTTCCCAACCACGGACTCTTGCCAAAGAGCTGTGGGTGCGAGGGGTCAGCTTCAGCACAGCCCTCTGCTGTGCCAAGGGCACTGACAGCTCATCTACGTGGGCAATGGGAAGGGGTGGGAGTCACACCCAGGCAGCCTCACTGTTGTCGGGGTGCACACTGGGGTTCTCGCCAGAGCAAACGTCCCTCCAATGTGACTCAACCACACTCACTGCCGCCCGGTCTGTGCTGGCTCACAGCGACCCCCGGGGGTTCCCAGACTGTCACTATGGACAGGGGGAGAGAGCCCCGTCTTCCTCCGGAGAGCCGTTTCGAACTGCCGACCACGGGCATCGCAGCCCAACAGGTGGCCACAGTGACACCAGGGCTCCAATGTCAGAGAACAAAAAAACCCCCAAATCTCGCTGCCGCTGAGTCAGTGCTGACTCACAGTGACCCTGAAGGACAGGGTAGAAGCGGCCCCTGGGTTCCGAGACTGTCACTTTACGGGAGCTGAGAGCCTGGCCCTTCTCCCACAGAGCTGCCGATGGGTTCAAACTGCAAATGCTGCTGTTTGCCACCATGGTGCGGGCCACTGCTCTGCCGGGCTCCTAGGGTGGGCGAGGCTCACTCTGTCCTCCTTGTCGGACCGAGCGACAAAACAATTGCAGCTCTGGAGGCAGAGCGGGTCCCAGCCGCACTCAACGAGGAGACCAGGCGTCCCTCAAACACGCCTCTGCTCTTCGGTCACCGGATGCTGCGGTCACAGCGGTGGGCGTGTGGGATGTGGCCTGGCTCCTCTGATGGGGACCAGCGTCCCCTTCTGTCTCCACAGTCTGGCCAGCTCCAGCATCCCCACCCCCCTTTCTCATCTCTAGCTCACTCCTCACCCCATGTGGAAGTCTTCTTCCCAATGTCGAGCCGGCTGGCCCAGCCCTGTTCACACGTTCCAGTGGCTGGCTGGGCCCCGTCCCAGTGGCCAGGGTGGTGAGTGAGCGGCCTCCACAGAACATGGCCCTCTGGGTTCCCTGCCTCCGTTGGGAACATGGCGGAGTCTGGAATGGTTTCCAGAGGCGCTCGGATTTCCATTGATATCTGACCTGCTGTCCACTTGGCTCGCCTTTGTCCTTCCTGTAGGACAGGACCCGGTGGGAGCGGGTGTGGAAGGAGGGCCAGCCCCCTTGCCCTCCGTAAGGTGGACAGCCACCGACTCCTGGAGGCTGCCGACATCCACCTCCTGCCGCCCAAACACGCCTATCTCTGAACAAGGAATGCCCGGTGAGGGCGGTGGACATGTTGTGGAAGGTCTCACTGGCCGAGGGAGAGCCTGCACCGAGAGGACCTTGACCTCTCTGCTGTGTCGGCTACAGCCACGCTCACCACTCAGGCTGACCGGCCTTGCGGCTCAGAGTCAGACCGTGAGACACACAGGCAGCAGCCCCAGAGCCGCAGCAGGGGGACACTCGGCACAGTCGGTCGGCCTGTGAGGGGCATTGCCGCAGTGGCCGCCCCTTCCAGGAGAGGCCTAGGTCTGCTCTGTGTCGCCACAGGAGGGCTCTGGGAACCTCAAAATCTTAGGAACACCTTATAAACCACGGGGGGAGGGGCTTTCCCCTCACCAAGCAATGTTGCCAGTCGTGAGAAATGTGAACACGCTCCTGGTCATGTTCTCGTTTGAAGGGCTCAGAGTCCAGCTCTTGGAACTGAGAAGAAGATCAGAAAGCTCAGGCGCCTAGATGCTGTGTGTGTGTGTGTGTGTGTGTGTGTGTGTGTTGCCGGCTCAGAGCTGGAAGTTGGACCTGGGAGCTGCCAGGCCAGTGCCCAGGCCAAGAATGCCCGGTATCTCAACTATGTGCTCTCCCGGCCTGACCTTGGATGACTGTCACATGCGTCCCCACCCACGAGCAATGTCCAGTGGACAGGTGTGTCCACAGCAGCGTCTGCAGTGCAGGCCACCATCTGCGCCCCCAGGGACGCCTGCCTTACCTCCTTCTGCTGTCGCTCCAGCTCCTTCATGCGGATCTCGCGGGCCTCTGCGCGGGCTGCGCGCTTCGCGGCCAGCCTGGCTTCCGCCTGGAAGAGAGGGGCGGGAGACTGTGAGTGTGGCCAGCCCTGGGGATGCAGACTTGTCCTGTGCGGACAGCAGAGACCCCACGGGGCAGTGCCACTCTGACTGGTAGGGTCACCACACATCAGTCCCAGAAGCAGTGCAACCAGAAGGCCCCTCAGCATGGAGGGGCCAGAGGTGGGCTCACACTCCTACAGAAAAGGCCGGTGGCTGGCAAGGGACCTCTGGCGGGCGAAGGAGATGGTCAGCGAGGGCAAGGGGCAGCATGGCTGACTGCATGCGCTCAGGAACCTCATAGAGGGCGCATGCATGGGTGAGCTGTGCTGCCCTGGTCCTCACAAGGGTGCTGGAGGTGGAGCCAGCCACACCCTCAGTGTCCTCTACAGTACAGATGCCTCCTCTGCCCCGTGTCTAGGGGATGGAGCCGAGGCACAGAGAGGGTGAGAGACTGGCCCACAGCCACACAGCCCTGGAGCCGCAGGCTGCCCTCAGGAGGCAGGCAGCCTGGCTGAGTGCCTGTGGGATCAGTGGTCCAGCCCCGCCCTTCATAGGAAGCTGGTGCCGTGCTGAGGTCACAGGGCAGGGCAGGGGGTACAGACTCTGACCCCACTCCCCAGCCACGCCTGCCTCCCAGGCGACACAGCAGGGCTGAGACCAGTGCGCGAAAGTTCTAGAGGACAGTCCTCTCTGTTGTGCAAGGCGTGCCTTCAGGGGACATCTGCTGGTGCAGCTTGGTCAGCGTCTCCTGGAGGTCACCTCGGCGTTGCCCGATAGATGCTGGCCGGGGTCCCCAGGCCCGTGCTCCCCCATCACTTCCTGTGATGGTCAAGAGCCCTGGGGAGGGGCAGTGGCACCAGCTGACCGAGCTCAGGCTCCCTGGTGCCCAGGCCAGCCTGCACACCCTCACTCCTCCGAGGAGGGCAGGGGTGGTGGCCCTCCCTTCCCCAAGTCCGGTGCTCAGTGGACAACCACAGTTGTGTCGGCGCTGGAAGCCCCGTGGCCCTGTTTCTCTGTGAAGAGTCACTCCATGCTGTGTGTGAAGGGCCACGTGACGAGGTCTGGAAGCGGGCAGCGCCGTTAACCAATCTACACTAATTAAACAACCACCGTAACCCACACCACCATCAACTGCTAATGATCCCTGCCAGCGACCTGATCTACAGGGCAGGGCGGGCCTGCCCCTGTGGGTTTCCGAGGCTGCGAACTGTTCCAGGAGTAGGGAGCCTGGCCTTTCTTCCTCCCGTTTTGGGACAGTAAGCTAGAGACTGACTCTTCACTTTACACCCTGACAAGCCTTTCTCTTGCAGCGCAGCTGGTGGGCTTGGAGGGGTGACCTTCCGGTGGGTGCTGGAGTGCTTTCGCCGAGGTGCCACTGGGGCTCCATCCCCGTGAGCAAGCCACCTCAGCTGGCAAAGATGATGGGAGAGTAGCGATGTCATCAGAGCCACTAGTCGAGCGACGTGGCTTAATCAAAAAGGTAGGTGATGCAGGTAAACCTGACCTAATCAGGCGTGGAAGGCCCAGAGATGCTGCTATCAGCCTCACAGACCTGAGCTGCTGTGTCATTGGGTGGCCGGTGCGTGGGGGGAGGGGGGTAGAAGGCAAGGAAGTGTGGGCGGCCTCTGGGAACCAAAGCAGCCCCCCACTGGCAGCCAGCAGGAAAGCAGAGACTGTGGCCCCACAGCCAGGGGCACTGGAATCTGCCCACAGGGATGCCAGTGTGAAGAGGGTCTCGAGGCCCAGAAGGGGCACACCCCCTGGCACCAGCCTGCATCTTTGAGAGGCTTACTCACAGCAGGGAAAGGTGGCCCCCAAGCCCTGGCCCACGAAATCACCCAGCACTAAACAGGGAGGGCTCCCCAAGCAGCTCAGCCTGGGGGGCAGGGGGGAGGGCTGCTCCCCAGCAAGGGGTCGGTCACAGGAGACCGTGAGGTTGCAATGGCTACTTCTGGGAGCCGGGTGGGGCAGGGGTGGGGGAACAGGACCAGTGTGTGGTCTGAGCTATATCTGAGCCCCCACACACTGAAGACCCCAGAAACTCTCACTGCCTTTGGGTCGATTCTGACTCACAGCAACCCTATAGAACAGGATAGAACTGCCCCTGTGGGTTCCGAGACCAACTCTTCTCAGGAGCAGAAAGCCCCGTCTTCTCCCACAGAGTGGCTGGTGGTTTGGAACTGCTGACAGTGCTGTTAGTAGCCCAATGTATAACCACTATGCCACCAGGAATTCTAAGCTTCCCCCAATTTCTCCTGCCCACCTTCACCCCTCACCCACCCTGCCTGTCCGGCCCTTACCCTTCCTGGTTTGTCTCTGGCCTGAGGCAGAGGCAGATTCCAGCAGAGACCACTGTCTGCTGGCCGGTGGCACGGCCCCTCCTCCTCAGGGGGCAGACCCCACAATGCTGCCTGGGACCCCACTGTGTCTGTGGGACAGCCTGTCTCCATCCAGTGAATGGTTCCCATCCAGCCTGTCTTCTTTAAAAAAATCATTTTATTGGGGGCTCGTACAACTCTTATCACAATCCATACTACATCCATTGTGTCAAGCACATTTGTACATTTGTTGCCACCATCATTCTCAAAACATTTGCTTTCTACTTGAGCCCTTGATATCAGCTACTTTTTCCCCTCCCTCGCCGCTCCCCCAAGCCTGCCTTCTTCCCACTCTCACTGAGTGGCCTCACACACTGTCCCGTCTCGGAGGGGCACAGCATTAATTGGTTTACAGACAACACCCCCTGACAAGTGGAAACAACCAGGTGAAAGAATAACTGGTAGTGGCAGCCACTGTACAATTAGGCTTGATCTAACTGAAAAATGGGTTGTTACAGTATCTGTAAGAGCTCCCGATAAAATGATTTAAAAAATAAAACTTCTTACACAGCCATGTGCGGGCCAGCCAGGCGGGCAGGACCAGTGGTGCGGGCAGAGAGGAGGTCTGCAGTTCACCGTGGGTTATGAAAGGTGCCCTCCAGCCCTTTGCGAGCACCACGCCTCTCAGGATTCCGGTCTGAGTCAGAGCTGGGGAACACACTCGGAAACGCAGGAAGGTGACACACTCAGTTGAACAATGAGACCGGGGACGCGGGAGCCAACAGTTAAACCGGGGGCCCACTCCGACACCTGAGACCGCACCCATGCCTTCGAGGATCCAGACTCACCGGGACCCTAGGGGACAGAGGACTGCCCCTGTGGGTGTCCGAGGCAGGCAGTTCTTTGTGGGAGTAGAAACCCTGAATTCTGACTCATAGGGGTTCTACAGGACAGGGTAGAACTGCCCCTGTGGGTGTCCGAGGCTGTAAATCTGGAGCTGAACCTGAGACAGCAGGTGTGGGAGCTCCTGCCTCCATCTGACCCCTGGGGTGGGGAGCTGGCTCAGGGTGAGGTACAGGCAAAGGGACGGCAGTGCTGCCCTCCAGGCTGAGGGTCCCAGGCTTCCTGGCCCTGTCTCATATGGTGCACATGCCCCTCTCAGCCCGGTGTCACCTCCTCTTGATGCTCACTCACGCGGGCAGGGGAACCGCAGTGAGGGCTGCCAGGCAATGCCGGCCCTGCCTGACAGGGACGGCGCTTTTGCAGAATGGAAGGTACATGCAGAATGTCTGCACCGGGGTTGCTGTGCGGGCGTCACTTGCCTGGTCTGGCTGGTGGGGACAAGGGACTGGGGCGGAGGGTGGGGTAGGGTGGGGATGGGGGCCGCCCCCCTGCTCCGAATCCCTCTCAGCACACCACCCCCAGCAGCATCAGCAGTTGGTGGGCGGGTCAGAAGGATGCCCAGGCCCGCAGCAGGGGGGTCATAGGACCTGGGGAGGGTGACGAATGTGACGGCCGCTGGGCCATGCTAGGACCCTGCCTGACTGCAGAGAGGATTTGCACGCTGCGTGATGGCTGGGCGGACGTACACATCCCCAATGGCAGAACAGACGTAACGTGCCCGACAGAGGGCAGGGGTACAGGCTGTCTGCAGGAGCCGCACCCAGGTGAGATCAGGGGTCCGTGCCGTGCTGCCCGCCCACCTCCAGCTCTGGGCACCAGGCACCCGAGCTGACCCGCTGGGAATCTAAGCCGCGACATCAGGCCTCTGAGGACCTCAGCGGCCCTTTCCAAGGTCAGGGAGCTCGGGCAGGGAGGCGGGAGGCGTGGGCTGCGACGGAAGCCAGGGCGGTGAGAAGCCTGTTACCAGGCCCAGAGAGAGGAGTGGGAGGACACAGATGGGAGTCCCAGACACCTCTTGGCCTCCTCAGAGTCCTGGACCAGGACTGGGCCAGCAGTTCGAAACCACCAGTTTTTCAGCCAGAGAAAGATGAGGCTTTCCACCCCCATAGAGAGTTCCAGTCTTGGAAGCCCACAGGGGCCGCTCTGCTCTGACCTGCAGGGTCACCACCACGGGTTAGAATCCACTTGGTGGCAGTGAGTGGGTGTTAAAGGGCAGAGGTCACCTTGAAGATTAAGAGAACCCTGGCCCAAGTCAGGGTATTTCCAATAGCTTCATGTGCTGATGATGCGAAACAGGTAACCGACTACAATGATCGTATATCTCCCCACCCCTCTCCCCAGGGGGACGAACAATGGTAGCTGGGCGCAGGGGGACAGTGGGCAGTGTCAGATATGAAAATAATAATTTATAATTTATCCAGGGGTTCATGAGGGTGAGAGGGTGGGGGTCGGGGGGAAGAAGAGCTGATACCAAGGACTCAAACAGAAAGAAAATATTTTGAAAATGATGATGGCAACCTATGTACAAATGTGTTTGATACAGTGGATGTATGGATTGTTATAAGAGCTGTCAGAGCCAATAAAGTGATTTATTTAAATTAAGACACAAACTAAAACATTTGAGTTAAAAAAAGAAAGAAAACTAGACACCAAGGAAGACTGGAGATGGGTGGATGGTTTAAATGACGGCGCCGGAGCAGACTAGTGGATGGGCTGGACGAAAGAAAGAAAAAGTCCGTATTGGACCAAGTACGGCCAGAATGCCGCTTAGAAGCAAGGACATGGGACTTCGTCTTGCGCACCCTGGACATGCTATCTGGAAGGACATCATGACCGACAGTGGAGGGGCAGGAATAAAGGAAGACCCTCAACAACATGGCTGTGACAAGGGGCTCACACCAAACAACAATTGTGAGGACGGCACAGGACTGGGCAGTGCTGTGGTCACTGCGGTTTGGAGCCCCATCCAGAGGACCTAACAACAACAGGCGGTTCTGCCTGAGTGGGCATCCAGTTTGGACACTCTAAGCCTCAACAACCTTTGGGGGCCCTAAAGGCATCTGTGTCCCAGGGTCTTTCTGTTTAATGCCTAGAGCAGTGGTTCTCAACCTTCCTAATGCTGCAACCCTGTCATACAGTTCCTCATGTGGTGACCCTCCAATCATGACATTATTTTCTTTGCTACTTCATCACTGTCATTTTGCTACTGTTATGAATCAGGCAACCCCTATTAAAAGGGTCATTTGACCACCCCCTAAGGGGGTCGCAACCCACAGGTTGAGAACCACTGGCCTAGAGCTTCCAACAAGGAACAAGGTGCTGCTCCCGTCCAGCCACACACAACTCACGGCCACCTCCCGTGTCTGAGCAGAACTGTGCTGGACAATTGGTGCAGCGGGTCACGAGTTGGGCTGCTTACCCCAAGTCAGCAGTTCAAAACCACCAGTCTCTCTGGAGAATAACCAAGCTCTCTACTCCTGTTGAGAGGGACAGTCTCGGAAACCCACAGAGGCAGTTCTACTCTGTCCTACAGGGTCACTCCAAGTTGGCCTCCACTCGACGGCAGTGAGTTTGGGGTTTGGGTTTATTTGG